GGACATGCATTTGAACTTGAGCCGTGTGCCTCCACCCGGCCCCCTCTTGGAGTTGCTGTCTCTGGCTCCGGGGGATCCAAATGTGGCCACGAGGACAGCTGGGCTTGCACTAGATGACAGCCTCAGAAAGCTTTTACCCCCAGGAATTGGGGATGGAGGCAAAAGGGAGGTGAGAACCAAGCCCACGACCAAAGCAGGGCCCTCCCCTTCGGAAGCAGCAAAAGTCACGCCAGGGGGCTTCTTTTCTGGCCCCCTCGTTGGTCAGGCTGATTGGTGACTCTTGGGGCAAGAAAACAGTTAAGTCAGGTTTCAGTGCTTTGGAGTTTGAGCGCGGTGGGTGGCCAAACGGACCGAGAAACAGAGAGTTGCTCCCCCCAGCCACCTGCTCCCATGCGGGCCAGGGGACCAGGAATCCTTCCTCCCTGGATTCTCTGCCATCCCTGCTGTCAAGGGGTGGCTTGGTCTTTCCATAGAGGCAGCTTCTGGGGTTCCAGCAATGGACCCCACGGCATGGATACCATGGGTAGGGAGGAACAGGCGGGCCCAGATGTGTGAAACATGTACATTTTCAAAGAAAGAGAAGGGTGGTCAACTGGATTTGGGGGTTGGCCTCCAGAGGAAGGGCTGATGCTGTGTCTCAGCAGACAACATCCACCTCCAGGATTTGGTTTCCACGAGCCTTTTCCCCGCCATGAAGGCGGGAACTTAGGGAAGGAGAGACGAAGATGCCAGATCCCATCAAAGGCCAGAGAAGACTGACCGTCTGCTTGGAGATACCTTCTTGAAGTGAACATTCCGAGGAAGCCAAATGTGTACGTTCACCTTTATTAAAACATGTTGGTGATGGACGTTGCAAGGGTTGAAGTTTGTTCGTTTGTCACGACGTCCTAGTGATGGTTCAGCTTAACGGTGTTGCCAACTTTATCCATGTAGGGTAAGCTCAGTGCTTTCATTTGCTTTAATATGACAGTCTTTCCAGCAAGGGGGAAAAGGTGCCCAGTTGGCGGCCAACTTTGAGTCTGTTGGAAGCAACACTTGCTTCTAATGGTGTGGAGGTCGCAGTGGGTGACTTCTTCAGGCCCAGGTCCTAGATCGACTGCAAATCATCCCACATCCCTGAATATATGTACTGCAGCCCTCTAAGCCCAGGCAGTCAGAGGGGGCAGCGTGGCAGAGCTTCCTTTCTCTGACACCCACATCTCCCTGGACCATGAGTGGCTAAAGCTTTAATTATTTCTGGTCTGCTGAGCTCTCCTGGGCAACTAAGAGCCTATGTTTGTCTTTTTTGCCTTCCAGCTGGCCAGACACTGCCGGATGAGCAAGTCCACTTGCTTCACCCTCAAATAACCTGGAGGATCTGGGGGCTGCCGTGGGGAAGGAGGGCTTGGTGCGCAGAGATGTTTTCCAGGGGCTGGAGTAAAGAGGCTTGTAGTTGTGGGTTTTCTCTTGTTGAGAAAATGAAAGGTGAAAACTCTTGGCCTTCTAAATTGCCTGCCCTTGTATAAAATCGATATTATTGAATGATACAAGAGCTGCCACAGAAGTTGCCCAAACCTCTGAAATGCGTGAGACCTTTAGCTGAAGACCTTTGTATCTAATTTTGAACTGTCCAGAAGCTCCCCTTTTCAGTACTGGAAATGTCATCTGTTTCTCTCAGTGTTAGGAAGGATTTTAGAAAATGGCAAAAGATGTTCAGTGTAGCTAGGGTTATATGGTTTCTTTCTTTCCCTTCAAGTATGCTCAGGAATACATAAATGGGATGTGCTGGCAGTGAGATAAAAGAGGATCTTAGAGATGGGCTTTGAAATGAATATGGATGTGCATTATTTTTAAATAATGTTAAGCAACAGAGAGCTTGAAGGATAAGATCATCCCTTGGTTACTATAGTAAGCATCAAAGGACTGGGATAACCTTGAGCTGCAAGCAACAGTAAAACCTACCAATAGTAGTTTAACCCATTAGAATATTAAGTGTTCACTTGACAACAAGCCCAGAGTCAGAGAGTTCCAGGGAAGGTTCAGCAGCTCAACAATGTCATCAAGGACCCAGCTTCTTTTTGCCTTTCCTCTCTGCTGTCCTCTGCATGTTGCCCGTTGACCCTATGTGTGAAACCTCATGGTCACAAAATAGCTGTCAAAGTGCCAGGCATCAAGTTTTTTTCCAAGATGTTAGAATGGGGAAGGAGCAGTCACAGAAGGTTTTCTTTTTAAAGGGTCTGTTGTTTTCGGTTGGAAAGGGAAATCCCGCAGCAGATTTACCATTGCTTTGCACTGGTCAAACCTGGGTTGCATGCCCATCCCAGCATGAGCCCTCCCCTAGGGCTGGGGAAGGAACGGCCTACGATCTCCCACAGGATCAAGAGATACCCACAGCCTCTTGAACACAAAATTGAGATTCTGGTAGAAGGAAGACAATAGTGGTGGGATGGGAGATAGTGGAGAGAAACCTTGACAGAGTTCTCATCAAGGCTGTTTTAGTTGCGAGGAATAGAAATTGTACTCAGATTAATTCAAATCAAGCGGTACAGCTTTAATATAAGGCCGGGAACAGTAGTTAATTTCCTGGGGACTATAAATGCAGGAACCGGAAGGGTAAGGAACAACAGGAAGAGGGGAAGGTTGTGGCAGAGTATGGGACATAGAGGGCGGCTACGACTCAGCTCCAGTTGATTTTGTTGTACCATAAAATCGCCTGATTTTCAAGACAAGAATCTGGATTCTTATATGAAATCTCCAAATTTTAGTATGTTAGATCAATTTTTTTTTAATTTTATTATGTTGGATTGTTTAAATTTTTGAATGTGTGACTCCAATAAAGTTCATCTGTAGGCCAGATTGGGTTGACGGGCGACCAGTTTGCAGCCTCTGAAAGGTTAGAAAGATCGCTGAAATAAAGGGAACGGGGACCTGGAGAGCCACCAGGGCCTGAGGCAGCCCTCTCTCTGGGTCCGTGGCCCTGGTTTCTGTCCCTCTCTGCAGGCTGGCTTGCTCCTGACCCCTCATGGCTGCTGCATATGCCTGACTGACTATGCATATAGCTCGGGGCTCACCGGGGCTCGGCTCTGCAAACACATCTGACTCAGCTGTTCAGTGTCCCACTTCTAAAGTCTCAGGAGAGAAAGCTGATTGGCCCAGTTCAGTGTTGGTTCCAATCCTGGTCCAATCAGTTGGGTCAGGGAGAGGTGGGATCAGGAGGCACGAACATGGCAGCTTTGGCCGTGACGACTACTGGTGGCACAGACAATTAATGGTATGCCTAGAACCCACAGCAGCACATAGGTAGACTTTGGAGTCTGTTCATTATAACTGTATTTTGGGTCATGGCATGGCATGTGGTCAGTATACATGGAGTATCCACCACGTATCGGCATGGTATTTGACACAGAGGTTGCGAAAAAGAATTGAGACGTGGTCCTTGTCTTCATGCACTCACAGCGTAGTGGGGGGAACGTAGATGGGTGGGACACAGATTGATATGGGCGCTAATGGAGGGATGCAGAGTATTGTGGGAGGCACACAGGATGCCAATCCCAAAGCTCTAGAACATTCTGAAGCACCTTCCAGCTCTTCAAAGATTCGGTGGTTACAGCCGGATTTAGTCACGGTTGGTACTTTACTATATTCTGATTCCTTGACATTGGAACATCTGGATACATCACGTGTAATCCTTCTAAATTAATCAAGAGTATTTTGATGATGAACCACTTCAAGTACCCCTACCCCCACCATGCCAGAGAACAGAGCGCTTCCCAGATTCATCAGTAAGAACACAGTTCCACCCGCAATAGCATCAAAAAGGATAAAACGCTTAGGAATGAATTTAACAAAAGGAGTGCAAGACTTTTGCAAACTACAAAACATTACTGAAAGAAATCAGAGATCTGAATACATGGAGAGACATTCCATGACCATGGATCAGAAGACTTAAAATTGTTAAGGTGTCAATCAGTACTCCCAAAATTAACCTTATAAATTCAACACAATCCCTGTCGAATTCCCAGCTGGCTTTTTGGGGCAGAAATCGGCAAGCTGATCGTAAAATGCATATGGAACTAAAAGGACCCAGAGTAGCCCAAAAATATCTTGAAAAAGAAGAGTAAAGTAGGACTCACACTTCCTGATTTTAAAACTTAACTACAAAGCTACAAGTAACCAAGACAGTGTGGTCCTTGTACAGCAGAAACTAACACAACATTGTAAAGTAATTATACTCTAATAAAGATGTATTAAAAATTTAAAAAGACAGTGTGGTCCTGGCATAAGGGTAGATATACAGATGAATAGAATAGAAAGGAGAGTCTAAAAATAAACCCATACATTTATGGTCAATTGATTTTTCACCAAAGTTCCAAAACAATTCATTGAGAAAAGATAAACTTTTATAAACTCAGCAAGCGGCCGAGCATTCATTGTAAATGTGGTTGTAGATCACCACTGGGGAAGGAGCAGGAATGTTAAGTGAAGAAGAATGAAGACATCAAGGCAAATGTCCTACAGCGCCATGTGGATTGCAGACTTTCCCCATGTTCCTTCTATTCTGAATTTTGGGATGGAATCAAGAGGAAACCACATTGCAAAGAGGTCTTTACTATTTACAAAAAGGAGGGTCACTTTGGGTCTGAATAGAGACTTTCCTGGCCATGTTTTTTTTTTTTTTTTTTTTTTTTTTTGCAATAGACGGGCCTCTCACTGTTGTGGCCTCTCCTGTTGCGGAGCACAGGCTCCGGATGCGCAGGCTCGGCGGCCATGGCTCACAGGCCTAGCTGCTCCGCAGCACGTGGGATCTTCCTGGACCGGGCCACGAAACCATGTCCCCTGCATCGGCAGGCGGACTCTCAACCACTGCACCACCAGGGAAGCCCTGGCCATGTATTTTTGTGAGTTCACTGTGTTCTGGGCCCTGTAGTGTTCCTGCTGACAATGAACCTTGAGCGGTAAGGGTCACTTTCCCTGGGGAATTTTAGGATAGGCAATCACTTTAGTCAAAAATGGTGTTCCACTCCAAGCACCAGGAAGTGTCCCTGACTCCAATCTGGTGAGAGTCCCCTGATCTTGGCCCAAATGTGGCTGTGAGGAGGAGAGACCTGGTTCCTTTACAGTGTGTTTGCAGTAGTTGGGGAGGAGGCCAACCGATTCCTTCGTAACTATGTATTTCCCCCCAACCTGGGATTCAGTGTTTCATGGTGGTTGAAAGTGAGCCACTGGAACCACATAATTTCTGGCCCTGAATCTCCATTCTACCCCTTCCCAGCTGCTGGCCTTGTATTGCCTCTCTGTGCCTTGGTCTTCTCATCTACGAAATGGGAATAATAGATACTTCCGGGGTGGGTGGGGGTAGGTTGTAAGGAATAAATGCATAATGTTTGTAAGAGTTGAGCACCAGTAGCCCGTTAGAATGCAAAAAATTATAACTGTAATAAAAATAATAATTGTTATTATTATTAGGGCAGGAATTCTAAGATCTTGGCTCTCATACCCTGCTTAGCTTAGGGCCAGCCAAAATCTTCATGGCATATGCTCCATGAAGAGCCCATCAGGTGAAATGACATGGATATAGATGGCACGGGCCCATCAAGACCCCCTCACAGCACATAGGGTGTCACTGGTCCCAGATGCATGAGGAATACTAGGCTCTGGTTTTTACCAAAGCCCCGGAGAGATAAAAATTCACCTCAGAGGCTGAGGCAGGTAATTAGGGATGAAGATGCTAAGGTGCCATCTGGGCTCCTTCAAAGCTCTCAGAAACATCTGGAAGCCTGTTTGCTACCCCAGAGTGTGCTAGCCGGAAGGTAAGGGACACGTTCAATCTGCTTGGTGAGTTTAGTTATCTATAAAGGGGTTCCTTTGGGGACGACCCTCAAGGGGTCCTCCTCAAGGGTTACATAGTGCCCGTGGGGCCGCTGAAGCCATTAGGAGTGCTGGATGTGGAACAGGCATCCCATGTTGCTAGTTCAATGGCTCTCCTCTTCTGTCTTCTCTATACCCCAGTTCTATGTATAAATTCCTGCAATGAAATCTGATACCAGTCACGTCAAGTGCATTCTGTGGCCTTAGGGAACCAAGGTTGCAACAGCCTCCATCACCCAGACCTCCCTCACTCGGGGCTCCCTCACACTCTCCCTCGCTCAGAGCTCCTTCGCCACTTGGATATTCTGAGCTTTCCTTCCTCTGAGGACTCATGGGATAACAGGACTCTCCTTCAGGAATTGACCCCGTGGTTTCCTCTCACCTTGTGCTTCTTGCAAAAAGGAGTCAGGTGGCGTGGGGGGTTAACGATGGGTGCGATGATTAGTTGGCTGAGGGGAGCAGGGAGTTTTTGTGGGGGAGGCGGAGGTCACTGGCATCTTCAGAGGTGGGATGGTGGCATCCTGAGCAAATTCCTTTCTTCCAGGATTTTCCCAAAGATCTTGGCCACCTCCAGGGCACAGCCCCAGTGGATGGTGAGCCCATAGCCTCCGTGGCCATAGTTGTGGATGACCTGGGAGAGGCAAGAGAGAAGGTCCCTAGAAGATTCAGGAGCTTCCTGAAGTATCCTAGGTAAGCCTGGTGGTACCAGAGCTCCTCTTGGTACCATCCCTGGTGGGATGTGGGAACCCCTGGAAGGGTAGTCAAGGGGAGTGTTTGGGGAGTTGGAGGTCAACACCCTAGACTCCTCTTCTGTTTAGGAGGCAGACCTGCTTTAAGCACTCAACACAGAAAACGTAGAATCACCTGGAACTTGAGGTCTGGGATTCCCCCACCACGTCAAATCATTTGAAGTTCCCTACGTCACTTTCCTTGTTCCCATCCTGCTCCAGACGGGATGTTAATAGGTAGACTCTTCTACCCACCAAAGAAAAGAAGGGGCGCTGTATGGATGGACCCTGGAGAGAGGCAAGACGCTAGGGGGGTTTTTCAAAGCTAAAACCATCAGCAGGGAGTTCAACTCTATCTGTGACTCTCCCCCCAACCCCACTGCCATACACACACATACACGCACATGCACACACACATACACGCACACACACACACACACACATGACCTCTCTACAGACAGACACACAACCCTCTCATGACACATACACAAAACTCTTCTATACACCCCACCTCCAAAGGATCAGAATAAAGGAGGAAGGGTGACCTAGATTCCTTCAGCCCAGGACAACCCCTACCTTTTCAATAAGGCCAGTTCCTACCTCATGAGACAGGACACGAGAGGGGAACCCAGAGAGATGATGGAGCAGTCACAACGTGGACATCTGGGAAATGGCTCTGGACTCAGATTCAAACCACATCCCAGCCTTGCCCCTCACCACTGGTCTGATGTAGGCAAGTTGACTTCCACTTCTGGGAACCCCAGTTTGCTCATCTGAAGCATGGGGTGAACAGTCCCTATCCCAAAGAGCTGTAGGGGAGATTCAGTTAGGTCGTTCGTGTCATGGACACAAAGCAGATGCTCAATAAAGTCCCCTTTTCCTTCTATTCGACCACAGGCTCTAGCAAATTGAGGCACTGCCCTCTATGTAAACTTGAGCAGGCCCTTTACCATCACTGAGCCTCAGTTTCCCCATTTATAGAGGAGGGGATATTAGCCACCACTGCCCCCACCTCAGGTCAGCATGACTGTTCCCCCGAAAATGCCAGAGACTTCTTAGGAGTTGGGGGATGGCATTGCTTTCCTTGCCGGGAGAGCATACCTCTGTGTTTGAAGATCCAACATGAAGCTGTTCTCTTTCTAGTCGAACCTGGGGGCGTACTGGCCGGAAGCCAGTGCATTCACTAACAATTTTTGCAACCTGGAAAGAAAATTGTTGGTAATTCATCTCTGGATTTTACTTTTTTCTGATGCCATTTTTAGGTGATAGAGAGTTAACTTTTGGAACTTCATTACCGTCACCACCACCAGTACTATCATAGTCACTTCTGTTAATTACCACTAAGATCATCACCACCTTTATCGGCCACCAACATCATTACTATACTACCACCATCTCACCACCAGTTCTATCAACTATCCCATCTTTATCGGTCACCGTCCCCACCAGCCACCACCATAATATCGCCTCATCACCATCATTATCACCACTCTCAGCGTTTTCATCACCATCAACACCAACCACTACTTCCATCCTGTCTTCATGACCATCACTATTGTTATCACCACTAGCAGGCAGTTGTGAAGACTGAGATTTCTGCAACAAATACATCTGCTCCTTGTGAAGACAGACTAAGGTGTTTAAGGGATGTCACCTCAAGAGAGAGCAACTCTTAGCCATGACCAGATAGGTTTCATCAACCCACAGCAGGACTTCCCTGTACATTGTCCAATTCTGGTATAATCCAGAGTCCCGTGTTGGAATTATTTTGCCCAGTTATCCCAGTCATGATATCTTCCCATCTTCAAGTGTCCTTTTGGTCATCAAGCTGCTAGGATCCTGGTCTAGGGCACTGATATCTCTCCCCACCTTACCTTCAGTGTGGGCTCCAGTCTGCAGCAGCACTGATATCTCTCCCCACCTTACCTTCAGTGTGGGCTCCAGTCTGCAGCAGCCTTCCCAAATGGTGTTGTGGTCCTGGATATTGTTTGTCTCACTCCAGTTCCCCAGCTGGAAGATGCCTCCAAGAGTCACTGCCTGGATCCTTGGTAAAAGTGGGCAGGGTCAAGGATGAAGGAAAACAAAGCCTTTGAGATAACGGGGGGAGGGTCATTGCCATGCTCACCCTTACCACCATGTTTGCCTAAATCAACTTCAACATTATCATCCCACAGGTGTCAAAAACAAACTTATGGTTACCAAAGGGGAAACATAGCGGGGAGTGATAAGTCAGGAGCTTGGGATGAACACACACACACTACTATATATAAGATAGATAACTAACAAGGACCTACTGTGTAGCACAGGGATGTGTAACCTATTGTGTAGCAATAGGTTATTGCAGACTACTCAATAGTCTGCAATAACCTATATAAGAAAAGGATCTAAAAAAGAATGAACATGTATATGTATAAATGAATCACTTTGCTGTATACCTGAAACTAACACAATATTGTAAATCAACTATACTCCAAAAAATTAAAATATTAAATAAACTTAAAAAACATTATAATCTCTGCTCATAATACCGTCAAAAAGAATAAAATACCTAGGAATAAACCTATGTAAGGAGGTAAAAGACCTGTATTCAGAAAACTATAAGGCACTGATGAAAGAAATCAAAGATGACACAAACAGATGGAGAGATATACCATGTTCTTGGATTGCAAGAATCAATATTGTGAAAATGACTATACTACCCAAAGCAATCTACAGATTCAATGCAATCCCTATCAAATTAACAATGGCATTTTTTACAGAACTAGAACAAAAAATCTTAAAATTTGTATGGAGACACAAAAGACCCCAAATTGCCTAAGCAATCTTGAGGGAAAATAACGGAGCTGGAGGAATCAGACTCCCTGACTTCAGACTATACTACAAAGCTACAGTCATCAAGACAGTATGGTACTGGCACAAAAACAGAAGTATAGATCAATGGAGCAGGATAGAAAGCAGACATAAAGCCATGCACCTATGGTCAACTAATCTCTGACAAAGGAGGCAAGGATATACAATGGAGAAAAGACAGTCTCTTCAGTAAGTGGTGCTGGGAAAACTGGACAGCTACATGTAAAAGAATGAAATTAGAACATTCCCTAACACCATACACAAAAATAAACTCAAAATGGATTAAACACCTAAATGTAAGACTGGACACTGTAAAACTCTTAGAGGAAAACATAGGAAGAGCACTCTTTGACATAAATCACAGCAAGATCTTTTTTGACCCACCTCCTAGAATAATGGAAATAAAAACAAAAATAAACAAATGGGACCTCATGAAACTTAAAAGCTTTTGCTTTTAAGCAAAAGCAAACTATAAACCGCAAAGGAAACTATAAACAAGACGAAAAGACAACCCTCAGAACGGGAGAAAATATTTGCAAACAAATCAACGGACAAAGGATTAATCTCCAAAATATATAAACAGCTCATGCAGCTCAATATTAAAAAAACAAACAACCCAATCAGAAAATGGGCAGAAGACCTAAATAGACATTTCTCCAAAGAAGACATACAGATAGCCAAGAGGCACATGAAAAGCTGCTCAACATCACTAATTATTAGAGAAATGCAAATCCAAACTACAATGAGGTATCAGCTCACACTGGTTAGAATGGGCATCATCAGAAAAGTTACAAACAACAAATGCTGGAGAGGGTGTGGAGAAAAGGGAACCCTCTTGACTGTTGGTGGGAATGTAAATTGATACAGCCACTATGGAGAACAGTATGGAGGTTCCTTAAAAAACTAAACATAGAATTACCATATGACCCAGCAATCCCACTACTGGGCACATACCCAGAGAAAACCATAATTCAAAAAGACACATGCACCCCAATGTTCATTGCAGCACTATTTACAATAGCCAGGTCATGGAAGCAACCAAAATGCCCATCGACAGACGAATGGATAAAGATGATGTGTCACATATATACAATGGAATATTACTCAGCCATAAAAAGGAATAAAGTTGGGTCATTTGTAGAGACGTGGATGGACCTAGAGACTGTCATACAGAGCGAAGTAAGTCAGAAAGAGAAAAACAAATATCATATATTAACGCATACATGTGAAATCTAGAAAAATGCTACAGATGAACCGGTTTGCAAGGCAGAAATAGAGACACAGATATAGAGAACAAACGTACGGACACCAAGGGGGGAAAGCGGGGGTGGTGGTGGGGGGATGAACTGGGAGATTGGGATTGACATATATACACTAATATGTATAAAATAGATAACTAATAAGAACCTGCTGTATAAAAAAAATAAAATTCAAAGAAAAATCACTGCAATTGCCATTGTCATTACCATCAAACACCACCATCTCCACCATCACCATTAACATCACTGTCATCATTGTTATCCCTTCTAATGTACAGCATAGTAATGATAGTTAACAATACTGTATTATATACTTGAAAGTTGCTAAGAGAGTAGATCTTTAATGTTCTCACCACACCCACAAAAAAACTATAGTTATGTGAGTTGATGGATGCATTAACTAACCTTATTGTGATAATCATTTCACAATATATACATATATCAAATCATCATGTTGTACATTTTAAATGTACACAATGTTATATGTCAATTATATCTCAATAAATCTGGGAAAAACATTGTCATCTCCGTCAACAACATCATCTTCACTACTGCCTTCTTTGCTACCATTAATATATCATGATCAATCCCATTCACCATTTCCACCACCACCATTAGCATTGCCATTGATACCATCATCTCCGCCACACCACTAACATCGCCATTGAGGCAGTCAGCACAGTCACAACATTAACATGGCCTTTGAGACTGTCCTCTCTGCCATATTATTAAAAGTCATCATTGATAAGTGTCATCTTCATCAGCACCAACTGCCACCCCGAACTCCCACTCACCACCACCATCAACACTGATCTCCTCTGCTGTAACAATACTATCTCCACTACCACCATTCCTCTATCCACATTATGATCATCATCAACCCCATCACCACCACCATTACTGCCATTCACAATACTGCTGGTGTCACTGCCATCACATCCACTACCTTTGTCTCCAGCATCACCACTACTGTCATCCCAGATTATGTTCAAGATAGAAGCCAGGAGCCCAGGGGAATTCCCTGGTGGTCCAGTGGTTAGGACTCTGCACTTTCACTACCAAGGAGCTGGGTTTGATCCCTGGTCGGGGATCCCATAAGCCGCGCGATGTGGCAGTTAAGGCTGAGTCCTGCCTTCCCAGAGGTTTAATGGCTCAACCTCACTTAAAAGAATTGGAGGAAAAAACCTGAAAAGACTTAAGAAAGAGCCCTGGAGCAGGCAGTGGGGGCATAAAAAGAGCAGGAAAGTGCTCCCTCTTCTGCCCTACAATATCAGATTTTTACCCTGGGATGATGTACGGGGACTTATAGATGCCTCTCTCTGGGTCGTGGGTGATAATGAAGTGCTTCATCCATGGGGCATCCACCTGTTGATTGAAGACAGAGAAGTCTCATCAGAAGAGTTAAATCAGTGGGCTCCCATCGCCTGCTCCCCTCTATGACCAGATATTCTGACAACAGTGGCAAAGTCATTCCTTAGCCCTCAATGACCCCTCTGTCCCAAGTCTGCGCCAGACTGCTTGCTTTTGTGGGAAGAGCTGCCCTGATTGAGAGCCACCCCAGTCCCTGAAGCATCACACATTCTCATCCACAGAAAAGCCCAACACGTGTAAATGCACGTATACATTAGCCCACCTCGGGAACACACATACCTATGAATGCACTCCAGTACTCACAGGGGCACACACATGCACACATACCCACAAATAGGCATGCCTCAGACACATGCACACACACACAGTGAGAGGTGGTGTGGAATGATGCTTACACACCTGGGCTCTTAAACCAGGTTACCTGTTCTAATCCCAGTTCCATCACTTACTGTGATGTGAACTTGTGCACGTTACTTAATTCCTCCGTGCCTCAGTTTCCCCATCTGTAAGATGGTGATGGTGATGTGATAGAACCCATCTCAAAGGGTTGCAGCGAGGATCAAATTAATTAACACAATGAAGTACTTGGGTCTGTGCCTGGCACTTAGTAGGCATTCCATAAATGTTTGCTCTTTTTATTATGGCGGGCATAGGCAGCTTCCACATATAGACGGACACACACACACACGCTTTACTATTAAGAAGAACCCCGCCCAAGAAAGAGTATGTTTGGGAGGGTCGTGTTGGTTCTTCTTGTTTCTTTAACATGCAAATTCCCTGAACACTGGGGGGTTCCTCCGACAGATGTCCCCCGATTCAGCCTCTATCTTTGGAAGCTCATCCCTCACCTTCAGACTCACCTTAATGGTCTGCCCCCGGCCTGGCTGCAGCAGGGGATCTGGTTGCAAAGCCCCAGCCCACACCCCAGTGCAGTTGATAATCACATCAGCGTCTCCTCTTGCCACCTGGTAGCAACGAACAGGGCAGGTGGGATGGAAGGGGATGAGGACCTTAGTATCCCTTGCATCCTCCCAGCCTGCAACTCTCTGCTCCCTGTGGAACAGCCAGGAGGGGACTCAGTGAGGAACCCATGGACCTGCCTCCAAATTCTGCTCTGCCGTTTACCTACTGTGTGACCTCAGAAATGTCCCATCACCTCAAGTTTCAGATCAGATTCCTTAGCTATAAAATGGGGCCGGTAACATCTGTTCATAGTGTGCTGTGAGGCTCCAGTATGACTCTGCCTAGAAAAGTGTTTGGAAAAGAATACTACGGAAGGGGGAAACCTTCTTGGAACCTTCTAGAAGAAGTCAGAAAGGACACAGAGATAGTCTTCTCCCTCCTTCTGACTCCTTTTTATTTCATTCTCTTGTCTTCTGCTCTGCCAAGACATCTGAGGAAGGCACGTTGGAAGCCCCAGCTCCGTGCATCGTATGGGAAGCCCCACAGTTCAAGGATGTAGCACATGGGCACCCAAACTCCCAGCCCAGCCCCAGTGACTCCCCTCACGGGTCAGTCCTGGGTCGCACTGCTATTTTCCATGAACCAGTGTTTGCCACACTGGGCTGTGAGCCCCTTGGGATTGAGAACTGTGTCTAGGCCAAGTATGTATTCCAAGTGCCCCTCAGGGCTTGACCTAGAGCAGATGCTCGTACACGTTAGTGGCTGCAAGTACAAGAGTCTTCCATGTGCCAAGCGCTGTTCTGGGTACTGAGATTGAGTGAGGTCGTACAGCAAAGCTCCTGGTACCTAGCCAGTACCTGCTGATGGTAGCCGCTACTGTCATTATTATTGATAGTGGTGTCAGTCTGGAGGTAAGTCAGTGGAGGACCTTGACTTTGTAGGAACATCATCTCAGATGTTGGTAAGAAGCCACCAAGCATCTGGAACTTGGGGGTGTGGTACAGCTGATATTGAGAAGAGGCAGCCAGCTCTCTGGCCCTAAAACTCACTGAGGCTCAGATATAGATATAGCCCCCAATGGCCACCATGATCCCACTGCCCCTTTGCTTCTGACACCAACATCAAGGCAGAATGCCTGAGTCCTTCTGGGATTAAAAATAGACCTAGAATCTGGGACAGACCTCAAAGGGATGCTAGGAGCCTGAGAAGGGGCCCCCCAACCCTGCAGCAGGAAGCAAAGGCCTCCCCTCTTCTCCTCTCTCCCACATCCAGCCCCTTCCAGCCCGGCAGCTCACCTCCTCAAAAGACTCCACCTTCCTTAGGAGGAATTTCACTCCTCTCTCAGTTAACCTGGGATGATCAAACACATAAAAAAAAATCCAGTATTCAGTTCTCTGTCCCATCCCTGCAAGAGGATGGCGTGGGGGACATTTCCCAAAGAACCGTTTGTGGGTGTTAGTCCCACAGGATGCTCCTTGAGAAGATGGCTGTGTAGTCCAGTTCATGAGCACCTTGATGGACTAGTGGTCCACGAAATGTCCCTTGGGAAACCTGAGATGGTCCAAGCCCCACGTTGGGCAGATGGAGATGGGAGAAGGGCCTTGCTGAAAGTCATACAGTGAGTCTATGATGGGATTAGGACTCAAACCCAGGCCTCTTACTACCACCACCCTGCTTTGTATTATCAAAGGGAGTGAGATGCAGGGTGGAGGAGGGGCAGGGTTGGGACAAAGCCCAATTGCTTCTTTATCTGAAGCAGAGCATGAGGAAGGAGGTGGGCTGGGGACACCCACCCCCTCCCTAAATTTCACAGAGAAAAAACGTATGTCACTATTAGAAATATAGTAGAAACATTAAAAGAATCGGAAGTAAACCACATGCGAGCTAAAGCATGACATCAGGATTATTTTATCCACATGGTTTCCTCAAGATGGAAAAACTGGGAGCATTCTTTCCTGGAAGGGGCTGGATAAGAGTCATAAGTGTCCCAAGGTTAAGAGACATAACCATGTTTTAATACAGTGGTTTCCAAACCTGGCTGATAGTTACAATCACTCAGGGAACTTCTTACAATACAAATTTCTGAGCCCCACTCCAGAGAATCTGATTCAGTAGATATAAAGGGAGGTCCTGAAATCTATATTTTTAAAAACCTCCCCAAGTCATTTGATAAAAGCCACCATCCATTCCAGTTTTTTTTTAAATCTTAATAAAATAATAATATATAGGAAATATATGGAATCTTCCTTAATATGCATATATGTGAATATGAGTACAAATTGTATCTTTCAAGCTAATGTTTGCTAATTTAGAACACTACAAGATTCCTATCAACATAAGGAACAAGACAGGGACATCCTCTATCATCTGTATTAGTTAGTGTTATTCTAGAGGTACAGCAATTGGACAAGAAAAAAAATGAGGTATAAAAATAAAAACTGGACTCCCCTGGTGGCGCAGTGGTTAAGTATCCTCCTGCCAATGCAGGGGACACGGGTTCGAGCCCTGGTCCGGGAAGATCCCACATGCTGCAGAACAACTAAGCCCGTGTGCCACAACTACTGAGCCTGCACTCTAGAGCCCGTGAGCCACAACTACTGAGCCTGCGTGCCGCAGGTACTGAAGCCTACATGCCTAGAGCCCGTGCTCTGCAACAAGAGAAGCCGCCACAATGAGAAGCCTGTGCAACGCAATGAAGAGTAGTCCCTGCTCACCGCAGCTAGAGAAAGCCCGCGCGCAGCAATGAAGACCCAATGCAGCCAATAAATAAATAAATTAATTAAAATTTTAAAAATTAAAAAAAAAAAACCCAACTTACGTTTGTAGATGATGTAAATATATCTGGAAAACTTAAGAGAATCTATTTAAAGCTATTACACAGCCATCACAGATTTTAGTAAGGCTGATAATAAATACTGTATCACATGTAAAAAGCTTCCCAGGTGGTTCCAACAAGGTGTGGAAGCCACTGTCTTAGTGCACAGAGGCGGTCAGGAACAAGGATAGCTCCCACCAAACCTAAAGGTTTTCATCAACATTTGGGGTTGGTCAATATAAAGACAAATCCCACGAACAATCATCCACTACAGCCCTGGTCCCTGGGAGGTGCTTTCCTCAAAGTGAAGCTGAAAATCTCACCTTTCGGTCAGCCACTGCAGATACTTCCTTCCCTCCAGAATCAGGCTTGTGTTGAACCAGCCATAGCTAGAGTCACAGGAGGCAAAAGGTGGGAATAAAGGATCAGAATCACAGCTCTATTTGAAGGCTATCATATGGAAGTGGGAGCTGTCACATTCTTTGGGCCCCCAAAGGGTGGAGCAAGGACCACTGGGTGACATTCAAGGAGGAAGTGGTTTTCAGCTCGAAGCAAGGGAATATTTTCTATCAGACGAAGCCATTCCTGACATTGGGGTGTGCAAGTGGAGATTACTGTGCATCTGTAGAGAGGGTTTAGACATGGGGTGAGGTGAAGAGAGGACCAGAGAGGCATCAGGCTATAGTGAAAAGAATAGAGGGGTTTGGACTGGGTTGCAATCCCATTCTGGTCACTTAGCTGTGTGACCTGGGGAAGTGACTTGGCCTCTCTGAAGCTCAGTTTGCTCATCTACAGAATAGGATAGTGTTATGGAACTTCGGGGCTTGAGATCTATGATTCCGTATCCCCTACCTCCCTAGTCTAAGGTGCAGTTTGGGTGGGTGGGCTCTCTGAAAGAGCTGGACGGAGCACTGGGAGACCAGAGTATGGGGCTCTAGACCAGGGATGGAACAGGAAATTTGATGCCTCCATCTTTCGGACAAGTCTATCTGAACTGTGGGGCCTCCGCTCCTTCACCCATGGCAGTAACCTTACCTGTAATCAGGAAACATGTCCAGCTCTCTCGGAGTCAGCTTCCGAAATCCCAGAACTACATCCTTCCAGTAAGGGTCCTTTAGAAGAAGAGAAGGCGGCACAGGGGTGGATGAACATCAATAAGAATGATAATAACAAAAACTTATATAATGTTTTCTGTGTGTAAGACGCTGTTCCAAGCATTTAACTCATACCAATCCAATCTTTACAACAACCCATTGAGGTAGATACTATTTTTAGTTCCATTTTGCAGATGGGCTCATTGAGGCTCAGAGAGGTTAAGTAACTTGTCTAAGGTCACACAGCTAATAAATGGTGGAGCTGAGATTCAAACCCACACAGTTTGGCTTCAGAGTCCATGTTCTTAACCATGATGCTATATGAAGGGTAAGAATAAGGCTAAGGATGAGTGATAGAGTAAGGGTCATAAATAGGGGAGAAAAAAAGGGGCGACAGTGAAGGTCACCAAAGGATGAGAGTGGGAGGTAGCAGAGTGGAGGGTCAGACAACCTGGAGGGAGATTTTGGCCTCACCACTGACCACTTTGAATTCTCTGAGACTCAGTTTTCTTATCTGTATAATGGAGTTAATAATCACTCTTGGAAGGTAACAGATAATGAAAGTAACGCCCTTAGCACAGTGCTAGACATTGAATAAGCCTGGGAGAACTGGCGTGGGATTCTGGGCACCCAGCCGGACCACCCTCTCCAAACAACCTGAGAACATCCCCCATGGCTTTGCCTTTCATTCGAGCTGGGTTCAAATTCGAGCTTTGCCACTTAAAGCTTTGTGAGCTCAAGTCAGTTACCCCAATTCTTGGAGCCTCTAGTTTCTCATCTGCAAAATGAGGACCATGATAGCACTTAACTTCCTGGTTATGATGAAAATTTAACGAGTCATTAGTTATAAAGTGGTTAGGACAGGGCCTGGCACATAGTAAGTACTTTAGAAGTCTGTGCCAGGGTGAGTCTTTTAGTCCATCTTGATGGAAAGTCCTGGAACCTCCAGGGGAGCAGGAAACCTTTTGGCTTCAGCGTCAAGTGCCTCCCACTCCAGGATGTGTCTGTATTTCACCCATACCACTCAAGAAGGGCTAGTTTCCCTGGTTCATCAGAAGATTCTTTGGTCTCTGCCAATTTAATAACAAAGTTGAAAATGAAAATGATTTTGAAAGCAAAAATAGAAATTAAAGTAAACCTGTTTTGAACACAGGAGACTTTGCCTAAGAGGCTCAAAGTCCCACCCCCACCCCCCCACCCCCTGGTCTCTGATCAAGGCTCTGCCCTATGGTTTATGGTCAGGGACTCCTCACTCACCGGAACGGCTTCACGGAAGAGGTTGTAGCCTGAGACTGGGGCCAGGCCCATGTCTGCAGCGTTGGGAGAACCGATGTGGCTCAGGAGATAGTTGAAGGTCTGCTGGTTCCAGCGCCTAGAAGGATCCCCCAGATCTCAGTCACCTAATGAAAGCTCCAAGGGTTGGCTTGCATGGGGCTGTGATCAGGTTAGTGGGATGTGTCCAGATCTAGAAATCCACCACGTTCACTCTGCAGTGCCCCAAATGCTACGGGTCTTCCCCCTCCCAAAACTTTCTAATATTTTCCCATTAATAGGATAGAGGAGAGGGGTAACAAAGGATGCTCCATCAACATAGAGAACAGTCTTGTGCTTGCCAAGGGGGAGGGGGTTGGTTGGGGGAGGGATGGAGTGGAAGGTTGGGGGATAGCAGATGTAAGCTATTGTATACAGAATGGATAAACAGCAAGGTCCTACTGTATAGCACAGAGAACTGTATTCAATATCCTATGATAAACCATAATGGAAAAGAATATAAAAAAAGAATGTATATATATGTATAACTGAATCACTTCGCTGTACAGCAGAAATTAACATTGTAAATCAACTATACTTCAAATAAAAAAAAAAGAATGCTCCATCATAACTATTTGGAGCCTACCTCTGGCTTGGGATCACGTAGCTGCGAGTTTAAATGAAAGCTTTGACTGCTTTGGGGACTGTGAACCCCGTGGTTCAGGCTCACTCTGGGCACCCCCCACTGTAAATGCCAGTGGCAGGCATCACTTACTCTTCTGAATACTTTCTCTCGCCTCCCTGGGCATACAGCTCAACAACATTTCCTAGACTCCCTTGCAGATAGGTGTGACCATGTGGCTGCGTTCTTGCCAACTGACCCTAACGTCTCCTCCCAGGTGGTCCTCATGCTGTGCTCCTTCTACAGGCACTGGCCCGTGGCAACATCGGAAGCCACAAGGAGGATGGCAGAGCCATGAGATGGAAGGAGCCCGGGCCCCTGAATTGCCACCTACTGATCAGGAATACTGGTTTTGGAATTTATGGGCATGAGAATGAAACTTCTGTTTGAGCCGTTACTCATTTGAGGGTTCCTTTGTTGAAGCAGCTGGTGGTTTCTAAACTGACAATGACCTCTGCCTCTTTGCTAAACTTGAACTTCCATCCACCCACTTAGAGGCATTCCTGATGGACAGATGCATTGAGCATCCCAGCCACCCAGTTTAGGTGAGGGATGGAGACAAAGTCTCCATCTGTCTGGCACACATGGCTTCTCAGCCTTTCGGCCACGATCAAGTATAGCATCTGTCTGGCCCACAGCAGGGACAATATTTATGCGTATTGTCTTTATAGCATGTCAGGCCAGAGCCTCCACAAAAGCTTGTAATTGGTGACGGAAACCCTGAGAGGGAACATCCTCTCTGCAGACTCAGCCCCTCTGGCCCCAGGCCACCCTCTGGGACCCTCACTCACGCCTCCTGTGGGTTGCTGGGCTCGGAGAGGTAGGGCTGCCAGAGGCCGGCAGCCACATCAGTGTTGGTGAGCGGGGTGAAGCGTTCTGCGTAGACCTTCACGTCCAGCGACTGCAGGACCGAGTGGTAGCGCTCATGGATGCAGAGGGCGGTGGACAGCCCGATGACGCCCGCTCCGATCACTACCACGCGCATCGTGCCAGCCTGCGGGGGGAAGTCAGGGTTGAGGCATGCCACCACCACCATCGCTACCATCCACTGACGGCTTAGAAGATGCCAGACACCGCCCAGCCCTTTTTATACTTGATTCCCTCAGTGGCCCTTACACATGGGAAAATTGAGGCACAGAGAGGCAAAGCAACTTGCCTAAGGTCACACAGCCAGTAAGTGATGCAGCTTTCTCTGGGGACTCTCCTCGAATACCCTGTCCCCAGGCTGGGGGAAAAAAAAAGGCCCAGCAGCGTGCCTGGCCAGCTGTAGTCTGGTTAGTCTAATGGTTAGGAAAATGGGCTTCAAATCTCAGATCTCAGCTCTGCTCCCTGCTGGCCATGACTTTGGCCAAGATGCTTCTCAAGCCTCAAATTCTTCTTCTGGAAAATGAGAAAAATAACTCATGCCCCGGAGAGTAGATGGGAGTTTTCCACAAGATGGCAAATGTAAAAGGCTTAACACAGTGTCTAGTGCAGAAGAAGTGACTTCCTGACATTTGCGGAGTACCTACAGTGTGCCAGTCCCTGCACTAAGCGCTTCCCAAGTGTCATTTCGTCTAAGTCTCTCACATTCTTAGAAAGTAGGGGCTGGTGTTATTGGCCCCATTCTACAGATGAGGAAACGAAGGCTCAGAGAGGTGGAGTAACTAACCTGAAGTCACACAGCCAGTAAATGGTGCTGCCAGGATTTAATTTTAATTCAGGTAAACTTGATACACACTGCACACCTAGTGTGCGCTAAGCTGGCCGCTAGTGGATGCAGCTGTGAGCCAGTCAGATGCAATGTCTGGCCTCAGAGCTCAGATCTTTGGCACATCCCCTCCAGGCCTGCCTTGGGGTGCTTGGCTGGCTGGGTCCTCAGAAGTTTAGAAGACCTACCAGCTTTTGACCTTGAAGCTGCTTGGGACTGCACAGCAGGGAAATATTGTGCAGGCTCCTGCTAAGGCAGAACAAGGGGACTTTTTGTGCCCGGAAGGGCCAAATTCAACTTTCCCTCCTCTCTGCTCACAGCTCTCCTCCCACAGACCTCGCCTCCTGGCAACTGCGGCCCATGGCCCTGAACGGCAGGACATTCTCAATATGTCCTAGTTTTGTAAAGGGGAAAATGGCTCCAGCCCACAAGAACTGGACTCTGTTGGGGTTTCAGCAGCCAAGTTGGAGATAAAACCAAAAAGCGGAAAAGCCTCGTTCCTCTGGGTGATTCTGCTTCCAGACTTGAGCCTGGGCTTAGTTGCAGGGGGACCCTCTCAGAGACCCCTCGCCTCCTCCCCCATCCTTTGCCTCAGGAGATGCAATCTCCTCAGCTGTGAAATAGGGTTAACCCCATCTCATGGGGTCAGCCTGAAGGTTAAATGACTAGCCTGGTCAAAGTTCCTGGTACAGGGCCTGGCCTCAGTCTGTGGTGGCCTCCTTATGTCCCCTAGCACCTTGAAAATAACAATGGGAAAAACACTGGCTGTGGAGGAGGGGAGAGGAAGGAGGGAGAGTCAGACCTGGCTTCACTGCCGGCTTGCTGTGTGACCTTAGCCAAGTTACTTCCCTTCTCTGGGCTTTCTGTCTCTGCATATCCTCTGGAAATTTGACCACTTTTTTTCTTTTTTTGTGGTACGCAGGCCTCTCACTGTTGTGGCCTCTCCTGTTGTGGAACACAGGCTCCGGAAGCGCAGGCTCAGCGGCCATGGCTCACGGGCCCAGCCACTCCGCGGCATGTGGGATCTTCCCGGACTGGGGCACGAACCCGTGTCTCCTGCATCGGCAGGCGGACTCTCAACCACTGCGCCACCAGGGAAGCCCTTGACCACTTTTGACATTGACAGTAAGAAGGCAGGAATAGAGGGTTTTCCTGTATTTTCCAAATTCCCCATAATGAACCCAGGAGGCAGTGTGGCTTGGAGAGGTGGCAGTAACAGCCCAGGCTGGGGGTTAGACAGCCTGGCTCTGGCACACACCAGCTGTGTGACCCTGGGTAAGTCACTTCACTTGACTGAGCAAGAGGTTTCTGAGCAGGGAGAAAGAGACTTCAGACCGAAGCCATCACATGGCACGTCTCCAATAACAAGGCTGTGGCAAAGCCTCTGGTTAGAAATGGTGGCACATGCCCAAGAGAAAATCATGACGGGGGGACCCAGAGCAACTTCTAGAACCAACTGGCCAAGACAAAGAGGGACAGGTGACAGCATAGGGCTCAGTTTCTCCAATGTCTAAAATTCTAAAGATAAGCAAGATGGCATCGTGCAGAAGGGGAAACTGAGGTTCACAGAAGGGGAGCCACTCAGTCAAAGTCACATGTTTGTGATCAAAAAATCTGTAGAGTCTTGGGGTTTAAAAGTCTCTGTGAAAGAAAAGACCTGGCAGTGGGGAGATTACAATAGCAGCTGCTAGCTTTTCGACTTCTAGTATGATGTGAGTAACACAATGATGTGTTACTCATTGTGCTAAGAACTTGACATGTGGGACTTCCCTGGTGGCACAGTGGTTAGGAATCTGTCTGCCAATGCAGGGGACATGGGTTTGAGCCCTGGTTCGGGAAGATCCCACATGCCGCGGAGCAACTAAGCCCGTGAGCCACAAGTACTGAGCCCGTGTGCCACAACTACTGAAGCCCTCGCGCCTAGAGCCAGCCCGTGCTCCACAACAAGAGAAGCCACCACAATGGGAAGCCCATGCACCACAGCAAAGAGTAACCCCCGCTCGCCACAACTAGAGAAAGCCCGCACGCAGCAATGAAGACCCAACGCAGCCAAGAATAAATAAATAAAAAGAAATTGACATGCATTATCTACTTTAATCTTCTAACAACCCTCAGGGTTGTCCTTATGCCCATTTTACAGATGAGGCAACTGAGGCTTAGACACCAGCTGATGAGAAGCAGAGCCCAGGCCGGCTGACTCTCAAGGCTATGTGCTCACACCCCGTGCTAATCCCACAATTTGAAAAACCATCAAGTCAAGCAGGTGAAGAAAAACAGTCAAGGCTTCCGAGTCCTGCGTTGAAAAAAAACACGAAATACAACGAGTACAGGAATTTTATTGTGTTGGTGGTAGGCATAGAACTGAAAAGGGAAAATGTGTGTCCTAAGTCAATTATCTTAGTTAAATAAATGAATCAGATTTGATACTGATTGTAGCAACCATGTGTGTGTGCATGCATTTAAGTGGAATATAAATGCATAAGGTTCTTATCAGAATTGGCAGTCAGACTGTAGGATCTGACAGACCCAGCCTCGGGTAAAATCATTGATGCATGTGGGTAATGAACTCCTGGACTCGTCTGCACACAGCTCTGTTATCGTTCAACCATTTTCTTGCTGTTGCTGACGTTTTTATTAGTGTTGCAGTCTTCTGCTTTATGCCATTACTTCAAACAAGCGTGCTTGGAGTGTGCATTCAGGAAGATGCAAACAGCTGGGGTTATTACGTGTGCTTGTGTGTGTGTAATTGTAACGTCTATGTATTTGTGGAGTAGGAAGGGAATTTTGGCCGCCTGCCACTTGCCCGACACATATAGATGCAGTACAGACATCCTCTTACTTTATCCTCTCAACTGCTCTAAGAAATTCTAGGGACGCAGGACTGAGGTTCAGGGAGAGGAAGTCGCTCCCCCGAAGTCACACAGCCAGTGTGGGACAGCGTTCAGATCTGGACCCAGTTCTATCTGAGCTTTTCCATGCTGCGCCATAGAGCTCTTTAGGCGGCCGGCAAGAAATTGGCGGCCGGCAAGAAATTGGCAGCTCACACCTTCCGCTTACTTTTCAGTCTTGTATTTGTTTGCTTATAACTTCCCTTGTCCCTAGAGCGAACCTTGAAGCAGCTCATGCCTTTGATGGCTACATGTGCAAAAAATAGGAAAGACTTGCTTTTTTTAAAAAAATGAGCAAGTCACGGGTGAGGTATTTGAATGAATGTAATCGGCTCCGTGTGGCTAACCCCTGTGAAGCTTCAGAGTCTATCTTTAAAATGGGACAGATTCTGTAAACGCTGGAAAACCAGGCTACCAGCTCCCAGCCCCCCAAACAGTAACAATGACCATTTATTGAGTACTTGCTATGTGCCAGTTCTGTGCTAAGCCCCTATAGTCCTCACCTCTTTTCATACTCAGATTAACCCTGGAAGAGGTGAGTTATGACCCTTATCTTCCAGACGAGGAAACTGAGGCTTGGAGAAGTGAAGGCACTTACCTGTGGTCCCTGCAAGGTTGTCACTTGCGTCAGGCTCTAACGTGGACCTTCTCTGTCGACACTGGGAGGACACTCAGATCTGCTGCGCCACCACCCCTGCCCCCACTCACCTGGCGTGCCAAATTTCTGGAGAAAAGAGGCAGCTGCTTCGGGTGCAGGGTCCTATCTCCTAAAGGGAGGCTCCTGAGGCTGGGGCGTCCTGTCCTCAGCTGGGACTGGAGCTCAGGGTCAAAGTCTGAAGTTACAGACAGGGCACAGCAAGGGGTGGGGCTGGGCACCACGCTGCTCTCAGGGGCTGGACCTGGGCCAGGCTGGGAGACCTCACCTCCCCTCGCTCCGGTCCCTGAAAAGTTGCCTGACTTTTCTGGCTGATCCTAAGTCCCCGTGGACAGGCCTTTGGGGAGGGAGGGAGGATGGATGGGGGTTCTTGGAGGGCTGATGGGCACAAGGAGGTTTGTCTCCCGGGCCAGCTGGAGACGATCCTTTCTTCCCTCTTCCTGCTGCCACCCTGGGGGAGGGGAGTCTGCACAGTGGGGGTGGTCAGCCTGGCAGCCCCTGAGGTGAGGCCAGAGGTATAGGACAGGGGCTCCTAGGGCCAGCCAGCCAGCCTAATGCCATTCTGGGATCCTGGGTGGATGAGGCCAAGGAGAGATTCAAGGCGATGCCTGTTTGGGCTGTAAAGATGTGTCGCTCTTTGCTCCTGTATCCCAGAGACACGAATGGCTGGACTCCAGGTCCCTCCTCTGCCAGAGCTAGACCTGGAGCAGTGATTATTAGAGCTCAGAGAGCATCAGGCTTCTCACCGTATGGGTGGGGAGACTGAGGCCAGAGAGAGGGACCAACCAGCCCCGGGTGAAGCATCCTTTGGGGCAGCTTTGAAGGTCCAGCCTGTAACCCCTTACCATCGGCATTATCACATAAAAACGTGCAGATGACATAAGAAAATTCATACAAAATACTAGTGCATACTCTTTTCTCTAATAATAGAAAAGAGGGGGTGAACTCCACCTTTTACTTATATGCTTCCATTTCATTTGAATTTTTTTTTTACAATAGTCATGTGTCACTTTTATATCCCACAACCTTAGGGAAACTCCTTGTGCCTCTAATTCATTATGGGAACATTTAAAAGTTAACAAAAGTTAGCCAGATAACTTTATTCCTATTCCCATTCTAGCAATGATTTGTGTTTTGTGAATTTCAGTGTGCCAGTTCTAAGTACCTTACCTGGATTATCTCATTCAATCAGGCAGCAGCCCTAATAGTAGGTGCCGTTATTATTAACTCTCTCTTCATAGTTGAAATTTTAAAACTTGCTCCCAGTAACCACTATAGCTAAAAATATGTCCATCCTATAACCCAGCAACCCTACTTTTCTGTACATACCCAAGAGAAGTAAAGACATCCGCCAACCAAAAGGCTTGTACAAGAACATTCATAGTCCCAAAGTGGAAATAACCAAAATGTCTATCAGAATGCATAAACAAACTGTGTTTTCAGTTTCCAGTTCACGCCATGGAATATTATACAGCAAAGCAAAAATTAAATACTGCTACACACAATAACTGGGTGAATCTCACAATCACTACCCTGAGTGGGAGAAGCCAGGCAGGGAAGAGCGCGTACCGTGTGCTTCTATAGATGTGAAATCCAAGGAAAGGTGAAACTAATTGATGGTGATAAAGGATATGGGAAGAATGATTACCTCTGGGGCACAAGGACACTTTCTGGGATGTTAGAAATATGTCCCTTAATCTGGGTGGTGGTAACAGGAGTGTATGCCTATGTGAAAAGTCATGAAGCTTCATATTTAAGATTAAGATGAATGGATTGACAAAATTAGAAAGAAAGAGTGGTGGGGGGGAGAGGGAGAAAGGAAAAGGAAAGAAAGAAGAAGGGAAGGAAGGAAGGAAGGAAGGAAGGAAGGAAGGAAGGAAGGAAGGGAGGAAGGAAGGGAGGAAGGGAGGAAGGGAGGAAGGGAGGAAGGGAGGAAGGGAGGAAGGGGGGAGGGGGAGGAAGGGAGG